AGCATCCAGTACAGATCTGGAGACAAACGCTACATGTTAGTTGGACCCAGGATGAGTATAGGATCTACTATAGTCCCAGGAAGCCATGCCAATACACTAGTGCTGCCTGACAGGAGGGGGACATCTGGTGAGGTAAGGTTGATTCAAACAATAGTGTGTTTGTTACAAATTCACTCGATATCAAGCACTATATGATGCTGGTAATCTACATGTGAGGCAAACCTAAATGTCTGACAACAACTGCAAAGCTGTATCTACAATATGTTTGTTTAATATTTCTCTACATTTGACAAATTCTCACTGTCCATATTTTTAAACATATTTCCCACCCTTTTTTGAAAGTACATCTTACAAGGATTGTAAGATTTTGGTAAATAATATAGATTAGTTGTTTTAGATTAGGGCAATCATTGTGGCATTGTTACCAACCCTTGCAGTGTAATTGTAAATTTATATTTCACAGTAGTTGCACGATACCAAATTTAAAGCAGATGGAATTTAAGCTTTGTAAAACCTGTGGCATATTTGCTGGTGGGTTGGCTTATACAAAATTGTGCTGTGCTTCTTTTTGTAGATGTGGTATTTAATCTGTTGGTTTGGCTTTACGTTGTCAGCATGATCCTTTAAGTTTTAAACAAAATACATTCCTGTATGGTAGGTTAACCTGGGCTAATTTAAACATCAACACTAACTAAGTACCTAAATGTCCAAACTAGTTCATTAATGTCGTCACCGCTTTTAAAAGCCTTATCTTCGTTTACCTTAGTACAGTTTCTTGCAGGCGATAATTTGATTAATGCCTCTTCTTCATTAGTGTAATGTCTGTCTTTACAACCCATATTCTGAAGTCCATACATAAACATACAGGCCAACTAAAACTGTAACTGCTACTACCATATATGCTACTTGCAAGTCATGTAGTCTTGATAGTGCATTAAAATGAGAGAAGTCCTACTTTTAGCAAAATACACGTACCTGGCTTCAGTTTCACAGTGCCCACACTACACTCATCCAGTGACAACACACAATATAAGTTCTCTTGAAATAGATATGATGTGGCAGCATTTGAGAAAACGAAATAATGCAGGAGCTGATGGTGCATTATTGTTCAATGAAGTCGAAATAGATGGAAAACCTTCACATGTTGCTGGAGTGAACTACAGTCACTGTCCATGGTTCTGAAAATGTTTGGCCTCGTTCTCAGTAATTCTCCTTTCCTTCCCTTGCATAGAGAGGATGTGTCGCATGGTGTCAGTGTAATGTTAAAAGTCAACATAACAGCGGCTTGTCCTCGTTGCATTTTGGTTCCGCCTCTTGATACAATTTTCACTTGAACATTAGCTTGTTCAGTTCGCATTGTCCGCCACCATTTCTGCCTGTGTAGGTGGAGACTAGACGTTTTTATGTATCGACGTGTTGGATTCTGTTTTTAAAACGTGGTTTTTGTCCTTGTGATGGATTAACAATGATTTCGGTTTTAACCATGGAACAAAGAAGATTCACGCCTCGAGGGGAACGTGGATATTTGATCAGCTGCTTGGTTGCGGCGCTTTTGTGGAGCGTGGCCGCGGCGCAAATACGCTATTCAATCCCCGAGGAAGTAAACGAAGGAACTGTGGTTGGAAATGTCGCAAAGGATCTTGGATTAGATAAGAACACGCTGAGAGAGAGGAAGTATCGCATTGTCTCCAGTAACGCGGATCCTCTTTTCCATGTAAATCAGAACGATGGTATCCTGTATGTGAGCCGGAAGATTGACAGAGAGGAGGTGTGCGCGCAGAGCAATACGTGTTTAATCAATCTAAAAACCGTGTTAGAAAACCCACTGGAGGTTCATTATGTGGGAGTGGAGGTGCTGGATATAAATGATCACTCTCCCAGTTTCCCAGAGAAAGACAAAAGGCTGGAGATTTCAGAGTCCGTGTTACCCGGAGCTCGATTTCAGCTCAAAGCATCACGGGATCCAGACAGTGGTCATTTTTCAGTGCAACAATATAAACTCAGCCAAAACGATCATTTTCGTTTGGAAGTTAAAGATAAAGGAGACGATGGTAAAATACCAGTAGTAGTCGTTAAAAAATCTTTGGACAGGGAAACTGCAGGAAGCCATTCCTTAATACTGACTGCACTGGATGGAGGTAAACCTCCGAAATCCGGCGATATGAATATTTTAGTAAATGTTCTAGATGTGAATGATAACGCTCCTATTTTCACTAATGATGTTTATTCTGTAATGCTGAATGAAAACGCTCCAGTTGGAACAACAGTCATACAAGTGAACGCAACTGATTTGGATGACGGACCAAACGGAGATGTGTTTTTTTCGTTTAGCAGCAGTATGAATCAAAACATATTAAACCTTTTTGATATTAGTCAATTAACGGGTGAAATAACTGTTAAAGGAAAAATCAACTATGAAGAGAAGGATAGATATGAAATTGAAATTGAGGCTTCAGATAAAGGTCTTGCTCCCCTAACTACAGAAAAAAGTGTCATTATCAAGATAGTTGATGTGAATGACAATGCACCTGAGATTGAGGTGACCTCATTTTCAAGCTCCATCCCCGAAGACTCCAGACCTGGAACTACAGTTGCTCTGATCAGTGTAAATGACTTGGACTCTGGTCTGAATGGAAAAGTTATTTGCTCCATAGTTGAGAATGTTCCTTTCACTTTATCACCATCTTTACAAGATAAAATGTATTCATTAGTAACCAAATCCCCTCTGGACAGAGAGAAACAGTCACATTATGACCTGACAATAACTGCAAAAGACGCTGGTCAACCTCCATTATCATCTCAGAAGACAATAAGTGTTGTGGTGTCAGATGTGAATGACAACAGTCCTGAGTTTTCACTGAGCCCCTATACTTTCTATGTCACAGAGAGTAACAA